CGGGTCCTCAGCAGGGTCTATTCAAGCGTGCTGACTCTACCTGCTGTGCCGCAAGTGGCACCCCGCCGAGCTGGTCGGTGGAGGGGGGCAGGGAGGGGTGACGGACGATTCCACCAGCGGCTTGAACACCGGTCTGCATTTGGGGATAAACGCGGATAAACGCGTCTCTGTCCGATCGTGCGACTTTATTCTTGATCACCAATTACAAACAGTGACGCAGGTTATCACAATGAAATCTACATGGCAAGTCATCCCAGGATCACTCGATCAGTCCACGCTATCACAGCAAAAGCCTATGCGACAAATTTCCTTCAACGACGGGCTGGCTCGTTTATACCTGTTGTTCGAGCGCTAGAGCCAATCCGCGTTCGCACCAGTGCTTTTCCCACAAGCATGTTTCCCATTGGTACTTTTTGAACCTGGTCCAGAGTAGTAATCCGTCTGTACTGGAATGGACCAAAACTAATTTGCTTTTCATTTCAGACCGGTAATGCGTGGTTTTTACCGCACTGATGTCTAAACCTGAGCCTACATCTAAGCCACGGTGCAAACGTAAACGTGCACGAGGCAGTGATGAGGCAAACGTCTAGGGACAGGCGTATATCCGCTATCTTAAGTCCAGGCCGGTATTGACAGTAACCTATGCATATACGGCAATGCTGGAACAAAGTTCCCCCTAGAGTTTTCATCCCTCCCCAACCAAATGATGAAATATACCGATTCTTTCATTTCTATACACTAAGTCATTTTTCACTATCCAGTGGTGTGTCAATAAGTATTTCTAGCTCACAAGCCTTACTCTGAATATCCGCTGCATTGCACTAGTCATTTTTGGCAGTTTCCAACGAAATGGCAATTGTTTCCATTTCATCGCTTTGATATATAGCGAGAATGATGGAGTCAATGAGTTTCATTAGTTGCTTGAAGAGGGCTGCAAACTCCAACCAAAATCTGCTCTCTCCTATGCAGCATTTTTGTCGTGCCTATTTGCTCTGTCAAGTAAATCTTGAACAAAGTATCTATTCATCTCATAGGTAGTATTGGAATACATACAATGGTAAAAGATGAGCTCTGTATTTAATATCACACGGTCTTCTCTGACACGGAGACGGTTTGTCTTTGTTTGCCGTTGTCATCATATGAATTCTCCTGCTAACTGTTGTGGTCATGTTGCTTTCGTTACAATGACTGTGATCGACTGGAATGACGTCACAACTATGTAGATCAGAACTAGTAAAGGATATATAAGGTATTAGGAAAATCGTACTATTACTGTTGTTCGTAGATAGGTTGCAAGTAGAGGTTAGCAGCAACGTACCAGCGTACCAGTATAGTAAATAGATGGTCTGGTATTACAAGTGAAATACCATGAGCTTCATATTGTCCACATTTCCCCTTATTGCTGACCTCGTCCCTCATTCGTTACATTGAAGCTATCAACAGCGTGTATCCGATGGAGATGTCGCAGAGAGCCATTTCGAACGGTTATCCGGTTGTCAGACAAGTGCTCCATTAACCTAAAAAAACAGGCGCGGGATATATCGAAGAAACTCTGAACTACATCACCACTTTTTTGCCTTTGTCTAACAGCCCGTTTTATGACTACATTGCCTTGTTTGGTGGAGAATGCTCAAATGATGGTATATAGGCGAAGGAAAGACACTATGCGCTCTCTAAACCGACTTGGATTAATTACGCGCTTGTCATATAGTTGTTCTAAAGAATGGAAACTGTCGCACTCTTTAGGGAGCACCTAGTAAATGGAACGAAGCTGAACTGGAGACATTGAGTTCTTC